GCGCCAGCAATCGGAAAAAATGCACAATTACTCTATTTAGGAAATCCTGCTATCTCTTCAGGATCTTTCGCATTGCATACCTGCTAACTTTATTTTTGTGCCGAAACGTACACAAAACAATTAATTGGTTTTTAAATCGACATTTTTTTATTACTATAAGCTTTATATTGAGTGGGTAAAATAATTATTAAACAAGAAAATTAAGATCTATCGGCCTAGAGATCGGCAGATTTTCTCAGATTAAAAACGTGGACCAGCAGACATTAATTCCACTGTTTTGTGAAATGCAACTCTTCTCGTAATGAAACGTTATCTTATCTCACTGCGGCAAAAGTACTTGTTGTTTTCAATCCATTTCGGAATGACTGCAAAACATTTTTCCTTCCCCATTTTATAGGCAGAAGCACACAAATGCATTCTAGGATTTTTTTTCTATCCAATAAAACACGCTGGTTCTCGGTTTCATCTGACTCAGGCCTAGTATGTCTTGAAGTCAGAACGCTATGTTCGCCTGTCCGACCTTAATTCTATGTGTTAACTTCCATTCTTAGTTTGTGAACTTTTGTCATATTACTGCTGCTTTGCCTTATTACTGTTAATTTGCTTTGCATATATTGTTTGCTTGTTTTATATTATTTTTTGACCTGTTCTTTTCTTGTTATTGCTTTCCAGTCAATTTTAATATCAAGTATCGTGGCTATTGGTTTCACTCTTGCTAAGAAAAATTGCAAAATACTTGCCTTGCCCAATTTTATAGGGAGAAATAAACAAATGCATGCTAAGATTTCTTCCTAGCCAATAAAATAAGCAAGTTCTTGGTTTTATCTGACTCAGTTCCGGTCTGTCTTGTCTTGAAGTCAGAATGCTACATTCACTTGTCCAAACTTGAGCTTGTTAACTTACTGTTAATTTGCACTGCATATATTATTTTTTCTCTGTTCTTTTCTTTTTCTTGTTATTGCTTATTGTAAACTTTGTCAATTCTGTTTGTTGGACAATTCTGTTACTTACTTTGCAGTTAACCACGGCTACTCACTCCAAAGTACTACTTAAGCCTTTATAATCTAATCAGGATCAATTTCCAGTTCACCGCCTTCTATGCTCTTTAACACTCATAGAACATATCGAAAACAAAAGGAACATGGGAAGGCTGCGAGCCAACTACCCGACCCACTTGTTTTTAAACGCTATAAAAATGATGGCGCATTTTGTGAAATTCTTAATGTTATTAGCTTTTTCACATGTGAGTCTTTGAATATATATTTTCCAATTTTTTTAACCGTAAATCATTGGGAGTTTCGGTTTTTACATCATCATATTCCTTCTACAGTTCAATCCAATCGATATTGATGAAATATCGATTGGTGTGCTAGTTCTCAGCTACGACACCTCTCATAATAGAACGCTGCCCCTACCCACGGCGACGAACGAATTCTGTTATAGTCCAACACATACACATTTTCCATGTGTCTGTTGGATGTAGAAAAACAATAACCCTTGTCAGAGGACAAACAGGTGCTAGATCTTAGCCAAAGATCACCCGTAGCTTTGAAAATCTGTATCAAAATGAGATGCACATATATATTTCGTGAAATATGTACATATCTCAGATGCTCTGGCACAAATCATTATTGAAAAAAAAAACAGTATTGTTTACTCAAACACGTATACCAAGCATGAACAACCTTTTTGTTGTGGTAGGATCCACCTAATTTGCATAGTGGAGTACCGACCATATAAATATGGTTGGTACCGGGAAGAGAGGGGAGGAATCAAGAGATTTAATCCAGAGACTCTGCCCGACTGCGACTAAGTCAACACATTCTCCAGGAACGGTCTTCCCAGGAATATACAAAAGACTATATGTAAATATTGTGTACACTTTCTTGTTTCAATACATTTTGTTCTAAATACATTTTGTGTTGCATTATTATTCCATGCATTAGTCAAGTTTCAACACTTTTACAAGCAGAAATAACATGATCTATGGCTCATCACAATTCAGGACACACTAACAAATAGATTCAAGGTATTTTTTCGTAGTAGATAACCTCAATTATTTCACTACAGAAGATCATATGCGTATATATACCTTTTCAAATGGGAAAAAGTTTATTGTTTTCTTTGGAGAAAAGAATTTTCTATAATTAAAAAATTGATGTCTTGGTATAATATTACAACCGATAACAGTGTGATTAACACATGTCGCTGCGTGTGATTTATTTTTTAATTTATTCATTTGAAAATAAAAATATATATTTCCTTTTTAGAGAAAAATTGTTATGAATGTTTCCTGCTTCAAAAGCAAAAGATATTTACACGTATGATCTTCCTTAGCAAAAATTGTCAATGATTTAAAATGATGTAAACGTTACTTTCACCGAAAGTTTACAAAATTCAGTAAACATTGTACTTAACCATTGTTTATGTATTTGGTTACGTATGAGAGAATGGGTGAGTGAACAAGTGAAAATGAAACAAAAGAAAATTTTATGAAAGGTTATTTTCCTTATGAAAATAATTAAGCGTGCCATTCAGAAAGACCAAACGGACTGCATGTGCCCCACGGGCCGCAGTTTACCTATAACTGATGTATACCCACTAAATATAACATTTATAGTAATAAAAATATTACAGAATTTAACTTCCCATTTTAAAAACCGTCTACTCAAAAAGTGCATTATAGAATTATTAATATTCCACCAGCTTGAATATGTTAATGTGTGGCCCCAATTCTTCCCTGAACCTTTAAAAATCCCCTTCGGGTGGGAGGGGGTAATTTAACCACCCTCCCGCATCTCGGTTGAGAGGTACTTAAAACTGTTTTTAATTCTCACAATTTATTTTGCAAAACATTTCTTTTTATAAAATAAATGGAAGTAAAGATTTCTTTCACACACACATACACACACACATACACACACACACACACACACACACGCACGCACACACACACACGCACACACACACACACACACACACACACACACACACACACACACACACACACACACACACACAGAGGCTTACGGTCATATCACGTTGAAACACCGGTTCCCGTACGATCACCGAAGTTGAGTAACGTCAAGCCTGGTCAGTGCCTAGATAATAGATATGCCGTTGCTTCTTACGTGCGATTACCGACTTTATCTCAGTTAACTTCGCGCAAAAGCCGCATGATCGCATTATTCTGTAAATAATCTTCTACTTAGCTACATTGTTTAGCAACCTCTAAAGCAAAAAAGCATTAAAAAGACGACATGTAGCAATAAAAAATCATTTTTATTGCTGTTGATGTTTTTCAATCTCAAAAATAAAGAAAAGTCAAGTTTGTTTTTAAATGACACTGGTGTTAAATGACTTACATTCCAGAAAGTATTCGACTTACGACAGAACCGACTTACGACAACTTTTTTTTTTTTTATTGATTGTTAATAATGGTTTAGTAATACAAGTCTTACTATTAGGTTGGTTCAAAAATAATGACGTAATAATGTCGTTTTTTGACGTTAAAAAATACGTTAAAAAACGACATTATTGCGTCATTATTTTTGCACCAACCTAATAATTAAACCTTAGCTGGAGGAGAAGATGTTGATTCATACCTTTCAAAAGGGTATTTGCGCGTAAGTGAATATAACGAACCCAATGAGAATTGGAACTCGTCTCTCCGATTAACAATTCCGAACCATTATCAATTATACCACCCGCACACCCAAGCTCACAGCACCTGGTATTTCCAAAAGCGGCCACCCATCTAGGTACTGGCCAGTCTCGAGGTTACTTAACTTCAAGGATCGTACGGGCCCGGTGTTTCAACGTGATATGGCTGTAAGCTGACTCTAGACTTGAAGAGATTTAGATCGTCCATACCGAGAAAGTATCCTCCCCCCACCCCCGGGAGTCTGATCCTCAAAGTAACAGTTCTTGTAAAGAAACTGAGTGAACTTCCTTCTTATCAATGGTTTGGTTTGGTTTGTTTTACGGCATATCAACTTCAATGAGTTATTTAATGTTGACAAAATTTTTATTTCTGATAATATTGTTTTCTTCAAAAATCTATTGCTGGTAATATTTTTTTCAAAAATGTATAGCTGAAAATATTTTTTAAAAAAAAGTATATAGGTATATATATATATATATATATATATATATATATATATATATATATATATATAGTCTTAATATGTGCTATATTTATGGGATAAAGTGCTCCATATCAGAATTAGAGCGTGTGTAAATATAAAAGTGAACAAGAAGTCAACACTTAAGGCGACAGTCTGTTTCATGCTAGATGCAATCGTCAGGCCAAAAAGTGCTGTTATTTTTCTCGGCTATTTATATATATACGGGTAAGTGGTGCATTGTGGGTAGTCTATTTTGGCGGTTATTTTACCGGAAGTCGTTTATTTATTTATTTGGGTTAAATTATTTTTTTGTTTTTTTTTTTATTTTTATTTTTATTTTTTATTTTTATTTCTTATCTTATATATTTATTTATTTATTTTTTTATTTTAATCGGTGTTTTTATTAACGTAGTAAAACTTTGTTTATATCGCTTATTTAATAGTTTTGTTTTGGTTTGGGAAGATAAAGCTATTTATTCAATTTTGGGGTTGATTGTTGTAGTTTATTCTAGCTATTATTTGGCGGGAACAGTTTTAATTTGTTTATTTCTTCATGTATTTATTTGGATTGATTGTCTTTATTTGTTTTTTTTTCTAACGGTTAGTTTATCTGGATCAGTTTGTTAGTTTATCTATTTATTTGGATGAATTTAGGTCAATTTATTTTACTTATTATTTATTTGTTATGCTGTATATTTTCTCTTTTCGGTTTTCGATTTTTAGTGACGTAGTATTTTTTTTTTATCGTTATATAACAATTATGGCTATTTTTTTTCGTCCGATTTTTGGTTTATTTTTTAGTCTAACTAATATTTTGGTCAAAATTGGAACTCGTTCTCCGATTAACAATTCCGAGCCATTATCTATTATACTACCTACACACCCAAGCGGTCACCCATTTAGGTACTGACCAAGCCCGATGTTGCTTAACTTCGGTAATTGTACGGGAACCGGTGTTTCAATATGATGTGACCGTAAGTTTGTGACAAGATGGTCGGAACTGTTCTCTGTTGTAAATCAAGGACTACATAAATACATATATATCTGGTCACTTCAATATGGTGTAATTGTTAGCAAGCTTGTCTCACTAGATCAACTTTTTGAATTATAAGACTTCTCTTCTTGTTTTGTTCAATCGTCTGAGACGACAGCTTGCATTTGATCCGAGGGTTGGAAGTTGGTGGGAGTAAAGAAACGAATTAGACACTGGTTTGGAGAAATAACCAAAGATTTATTTTCATTTACAAGATATGAAAATGCCTCTGGTACGTCGTATGGTGTACTGTTCGAATGTACGGTTTACGAGGTGTGAATTGAGAGCGCGAAAAAGGAGTATGCTTAATCAAGCTGACTGCTTGTTTGCTCTCTGTTTGGGCTTGTCGCATTGATAGTGGAGTTCGTTCTCTTTCTGTGTTCACAGGAGGTCGTTTTCACAGCCTAATGGTCGGTCTGGTAGACAGCCATGCTTTCGAGTAGCGTGCGCACGCGTGTGTGTGAAGCTTCTCTCTCTTTTTCTTTCTCTCTTTCTCTCTCTCTCTCTCTCTTTCTCTCTGTCTCCTATCCTATTTCTCTTATAGCCTATATAAGGGAAACGCACAGATGTATTTGTAGACATCTGTGGCAAGCGAGAGTCGCGTCGATAATGGCCAGCACTCTGGTATATTTATGCTTGTTTTAAAATTTGTTTTGAATAGAGTGCGGCGTGTGTGTGCGACTTAGCTAGACGAAAATTGGTGTGTAGTTACAGATATATGTTTTTTAATAATTGTATAAATTTGGCTTTAATTTGTTATCTCTATGTGTAAATTGTGTTTTTCTGCTACACATTTATATTCTCAGAGAGAAGTCTTCTCACATAAACAAATCAAAAATTAAGGAGTTTATTGCACACCCACACACACCACTAGTTCACAATTTCAGGATCTTTTGAACTTAGTCGAATGTTGGGTAAATTTACTTAGGGTTCAAAAATATATATTGGCTTATGTCAATTATGATTCCAATTTGTTCATTGAATTAAGTATGGCTCAAGCACACGCATGTACATAACTTTATTTTACAAAGTTATAAATTATATACAATTATGTTTATCCCCAGACATATATGTCTCTGTGTTACAAAAACAAATAATCGTAGTCTGACCAAGAATGGAATTATCTGAATACATAAAACGTACATTTTATTCAACAAATTGACCTACAGTTTAACACACTTGTTCATGTCTTATGAAACTTAAAAAATAACCTTCTGGCTGGTCATTGAAATACTGCATCGCTACAGGAAACAGTAGAGAGTCATGTTCGCCCGAATCCTGAAGGTACACGGTAGATAAAAGAAAACTACTATCATCTCCGAATCATTCGAAAATTTGCTTTCTTTCAAATTCCCCTTAAGGTTTGGAAACCGGAAATAGATGGAACGGGGTAAATATCAGAAAGTTTGAAAACAGGAACTAGAGAGAACAGGGTAAATGGTCGAAAGTTTGAAAACCGGAAATAGATTGAATAGAGCAAATAAATACACAAGGACACAAATTCTTCAAAACATTCACCGTCTTGACAGTTGAGTCAGCAGATAAATTGTCCTGCAAAAAAAAAAAAAAAAGAAAAAAAAAGAGAACTTTCTTCAGCTACTCTTACTAAGAACTACAACGGATAGGACGTTGTGGAGAGACATGTTCGCCCTTGTCTTGAAGGGACAGGGCACATAGAATAAGACTGATATTACCTTCAAATCACTCGAAAATATTCTTCCTTTCAAATTCTCCTTAAGGTTCGGAAACCGGAAATAGAGGGAACGTGGTAAATGGTCGAAAGTTTGAAAACAGGAAATAGTCAGCGGGAATAGAGTAAATGATATCAGTACACAAGTACGCAAATTCTTGAAAACATTCTCTGTCTTGACAACTCTGTAAACAGATATATTGTTCTGTAAAAATAGTACAACTTTCTGCAGCTTTTTTTTTCACGCCTCCTTTAATCCGCACAGCAAGTTACGTAGTATTTTTGTATTAACAGTTTAGCTCTTAGTCATCAAAATACCTTCCTTATAAAGAAAAAAATTGTGTCTATGATCTTTCCTGTCGACTTTTGAGTCGTGAATTTATTCAGTCGTGAAAAACCGGAATGCTGCCACTGCATGGACTCTTGTTCGAACTCTAGAAGATAGTGTCGTAAGAATGTTTCATCAATATTAACATGGCGTCACAAAAAATATTACTAAATCAGTGAAGATGTTGCAAAATGATCTTGTTGGTGTCCACTCAGTATCGTTTCCGGTAGGAATTCAAACATTTTGGCTGACAGCTTCTGCATATACAACTGCTCATTAACAAGTCCAGCGCATTACATGGATATTTCTAGTGTCTCAGTAATTCCTTTTGCCGAAATACGTTGATAGGCCAAAATTAAGTCGTGAATAAGGTCAATATTTTCAATATGTGACACTGTTGTAGGCCAACCATGCCGTATTGCATCTTGGGTCTTAAAATCTCCACACTGGATATTTGCCCACAATTTCTTCACAGTAGCGTATGATGGTCATTTATCATTTGATGTTTGAGTCAAACACTCATGAATTTTTCCCTTACTGCTTTCTTCTGCAGAGGCAGGACGATACAGTTTCAAAATATCGAATTAGTAGCCATGTTGCAAATTTGAATAGGCGTTAATGCTGACTTGACAGAAAAATAGAAAATATTTAATATCTTCAGAGCTTGGAAAAAGTAAAACAATAAAGGAAATTGAAAAAATGATTGGCAGCTACCAGCGAATTTTCTTTTTAATCATTTCATCACAAGCAAGGCAACAAAATTACTAAGACGTAGAGGGTTACTGAGTGTGAAAGAATACAAGAAAAAGAAAAGCATTATTATGGAGCGAGAACAATAAAAGAACATAAATTAAGACAGAATATAGCGATCGACCGAGCTAGAAAAGAAAGTGTTGATATAGAACTTACGGTTACATGTAGCTATTTCAACTGTAAAATGATGAGACCTAACAGCCAATCTAGTACTGCGCTTAAATTGTAGGTACACATTAGAATAATTACCATGAAAAGTAATAGAAAATGTACGTGGAAGCTACATTACGGCAGTGGGAAAGTAACTGAATTCGAGATGTCAGGTCAGGACCAGTGATATTGCAGATTCATCTTTGGATTTTATCAAGGGTCTCTAAATATATAACAGAAGCTTCAGACAATGTGTAGCAACAATATCCAAAGCCTGGACGAATGGTAGACTTATAAATATGTAAGATAGATTCTGGTGAGAAAAATTGTCTAGCACAACACAGTGAACCAACTTTCCTAGCAGCAGATATAGCAATTGATTCAATATGATCTTTGTACTCCATGTCAGCAGAAACGTTTAGCCCGAGAAGACGCAAGGAGTCACTCTACTGGAGGTTAGCATCAGTCATGTAGATGGAAAGCAGAAAGGGTTCTCTCAGACGATTATAAACTGTTCCTTACCGCAGTTAACAGCAGATTGTGAGTCATTTTTAGATCAGCTGTCAATTTGACCTTCTGGAACCGATCAGATTTACTATTAAGACAGTTATAAATAGCATTGATTCCGAATTGAGAACTGGTGTCATTAGGAGTGTCATTGACATTTGTATCCATGTCAGCAGAAAAGTTTAGCCCTAGAAGGCGCAAGGAGTCACTCGACTGGAGGTTAGCATCAGTCATGCAGATGGAAAGCAGAAAGGGTTCTAATAGAGGGCAGTTTCGTTTTGAAGGCTTTAAAGTCATTCCTTGCTCCTGTTAACAACAGAATGTAAGTCATTTTTTAGATCAGCTGCCAATTTGATCTTATGGAGCCAATCGGACACTACTAAGATAGATGCAAACAGTTGTGTCTTCAGCATAGATAACGAGCTGTGAAGAAGTTCATGGAAAATGTTGGATGAGCTCGATGAAGGTCTGGTTAAAGCAAAGTTGAAGGTTTTATAACGACGATCTGTGTTCCGTTTCAAGAGAGAAGCTTTAAAAAAAAGGTATCAAGTCTTTAGCAGATGTGGCAGGGAGGAAAATGTCGGGACCTGAATCAAGCATTTGAAATCAATTACTGAGCCCTATTTAAAAGACATTCATAACGAAGATCAAATAAGCTGTAGTAACCATAAAGTTTCTTTTTGTAACAATTCTTTTCATCGCCATCGCTGTTTGAGGCATCAAAAAATAAAGGTATAATGATGTTCTGAGATGAGATGCAGTGATGAACAGATGCTGAGTTTCAGCAAGCGTTAAAGTAACAAACCAGGAACACATCCTTTTTGAAGGCACATGTGGAGCCATAATTCAAGTAGTTTTACGCTTTTAGAAAGATTTTTCATGCACGATAATATTCCACCACATTCAGCAAAGAAGTATTTTCATAGTAATTATTTTAATGAGCGTTCCACTTTGGTACCTCGACTTTACAAATTTAAGTGTACTACTAGACTGGCAGTTAGGTCTCATCATTTTACAGTTGAAATGGCTAGATGTAACCGTAAATCCTATGCTAATAGTTTCTTCTATGGCACTTCTCCTTGTGGAACTCACTTCCAGTCTCTTGCTTTCCAGTCAACTTTGATCATCAAAAATTTAAATACAATGTCAATTGTTATCTTCTCTCTCCTAAATTCCCTTTCTTTTGTTCTCTCTTTAATAATGTTTCTCATATTCTCTCATATTTAGTAAACCCTTGTGTCTTAGTGGCTTTATTGTATTGCTTGGGATGAACTGATGAAAAAAAATCGAATATTTCTACAATAGTTTCGGACCAAGTATAGTAAACATATTTCTAATCTTAAAAATAACATGGAATTTCAAAGAAAAATATGTCTTTGGATTATTTAAAAGCCTATGACCATGCAGGGATGCTGAAAGCCATTATCTCATTTGTGACAGGATGAAAATACTGATATCTTTGGGGTCCATCGAGAGTTACACTCTTTCATTGATCTCTCCCCTTAATAATGTTTTT